GTTGTCACCTCTGCTCTCTGAGCCCTGCTCCCATGAGTTTAGAGGCAATGTTGGATGGGTTCTTTCTTAGCTCAAGTTTTTTAAACCTCTTCTGAGCTTTACCCATTTTTGTCTTGTCTGGCCCAATGAGCAGCTCCAGACACTGTCCAGAGTCTCTCCAGCATTCCCAAAACAAATGCAGTGGGAAAATTGCAGGGCAAAGCCATTCCTGCACAGAATGAAAAAAACAGAAAACTATAACTGGTGGTTTTTTAGATGCTTAAAGATGCACCTCCTATGGAAATCGTATTTTTCTTTTGTCTACATGTTCATATGGCATTTTTCTGATGCTACAGGTCATATCATGAAAAAGTAAGTGCAAAATTGCATTTCTGAGTATTCCCACCAAACTTCAGACGTAGAAGATACGTGCAGATCAAGTCAGTATTAAGTCGGCCCATCAAAGACCACATCTAGACGTCAGTCTAGAAATTTCAACGTCAAAATTGGACCTTTTTTAGACGTTGCTCTGACGTTTAGAATTTGGACGTCATCTGAAGACCGAATCTAGACATCAGCACAAAGTGCAAAATGGATCCAATATTTAGACATCATTATTGGATGTCTTTAAGACATTGAAATAGCGTCCACAGTTGTACCTCTTTTGGACGTATGCCTGTGGTCCAACAAGGACCAAATCTAGACGTCAGCGCAACGTGCAAAATAGATCCAAGATTTAGACGTCATTATTGGACCTCTTTTAGACTTTGAACTGACGTCCACATTTGTACCTCATCTGGATGTGTGCTGTGGAATGACAAGGACCTTATCTAGACAACAGCACAATGTGCAAAATGGATCCAAGATTTAGACGTCATTATTGGACCTCTTTTAGATGATGAAATGACGTCCACATTTGTACCTCATTTAGATGTCAGAACAACGAGCAAAATAGATCCGAGATTTAGATGTCATTTTTTGGCCTCATTTAGACGTTGAACTGACGTTCACATTAACACATAATTTGGATGTGATGTCCACCACAGAATCTTAAAGTGGTGTTAACGTGCAGAATTGGTCCAAGATTTATATTGACCTGTTTCAGATGTCAAAATCACATTTGGATGTCATAGGTGAGGGTTACTGTTAACTGAGTTGACAACATATTAAATGAAACATGTTTAATGACAATTTGTCAAAAAAAAAAGTAAATGAAGCATGATACAGCATGCACAAAAGGTGATGTCTGTCTTTATGGGGCACATCATAATGTTGCAGATTCTGAGCTTTGATGTCCACCATCCAACATACACACTTTAAAGGCCACTTTAAAGGCCATCTCAAAGGTGGAAATTGCCAAAGACCAAAGCCCAAGAAAATTAGAAAGAGGCTATTAAAGTCAGACAAAGAGATCCAGGTCAGCCCTTTGCCCTACATGCTATAACCCATTTGCAAGGAAAAAGAACCAGGCATCAAAAGGACAAGCTATGAAACAATAATCTGTATGTTCCTGAGAGATGGTCACAAGAGCAGCAGCAAAGTCATAGTTGCAGAAGTGATTTTTTTGCTTCTTTTTTTTTTTTTTTTACCTTAAGATATGAAATGAAGAGATGAGAAATTAAAGGAGGCTAGTTGTGTATAGTGGTAAAGTCCTGTTTTTCAGGTTGGAACACATTTTGCTGAAAGGTATTGAAACAAAATGTGGAGGACGTCAATATGTAAATAGATGTCCCGTGGACGTTGGAATTAGGTTGATTTAATAAGACGTCAATTGGATGTCTAGACCACGTCAGAAATATACTTATGAAATACTTTTATTCTGCATCTACAGAGGACCTGATTTCAACTGCAAATTTCAACTGAAATTGCACTTCATTTGAACGTCTGATTTGGAGGTCCACAAGACGTTAGAATTGGACGTCCATATGACATCTGAAAAAGACGTAAAAAAAACTTTTATTCTGCACCTTCAGGAGACCTGATTTAGATGTTGAAAAAATACATTCATGGGTTTCTTGAATTCAAATCACAGTGAATCTCTGGCAGACCCAGACGGCAGGTTCAGACACAGCGGGATATTCTATGTCACAAATTTATGCTCCGCCCTTGGTGCCCCACTCTGCAGGCCACACCCCAAGAAGCAGAGAGGATTATGGTGGAACAAGTGTGTGCATTAGAAGATTGCAATGCTTGTAAAAAAGCTAATTATGACATTAACTTTCATCATGTCCCTAAAGACATTAGTGTCCAAGAGCTGAATAGCTCCTCTACTACCTGTTTCTTCTACTACTCCAGCAATGTTAGGCCGCAAGCTACCATGAAGGGAAGTGTGCAGAGCAGTGCTGTCTCCACCATCAACTCAAAAGCAAATTGCTAATGAGCTACTGGAGCTCTGCAGAGAAAAGCAATTTTGGGGGAAAAAAAAAAAAAACACTTCATGACCACTGAGAAAACTTTAAATAGTTAAAACAAACAAACAAACAAAAACAAAACAAAAAAAATTGGAGTAGGACCTTAACAAAAAAGAAAAGATCCCCTTTTTTTAAATCTAACTTCTCTTTATTCTAATCAACTTTATTTTGCTCTTATATTCTAGAGGTGCACTGGGGTATTGTTCATGGTAACAGAGGAGTACCAGAAAGGATTAAGTAGAAACTAAGACTTTTTAAGCTCACATTGTCAGCTTTGAAGTTGAAAATAAACTCTACACACAGAGAGAATCTGGTCGAGCTGTTGCTGCAGGCTTAAGCTCTGATGGAGGCAAAAACACACTCCTAAATCTCAGGCTGCGGCCCACCAAGCAATTCTCTGGGTAGGAAGCGCAGCATGTGTATGATTTATGACAAATCCCTCTCTCAATTTGTCACCGATGGCAGGAATGTATAATTCAAAATATTTTCTACTTTGCTGTATGTCCTGCCTCCATACCCAAATAGCCCACTACCACGTGCACACATTGCTGTGCACACTAATACCAACATCTTTCTTACTTTATTAATGTCCTACATGCAAACAAAGTGTCCTAAAGCAAACACAGAAAATAAGATGCATACGCTCTTGGCTAGATTTGTTGCTCTGGGAAATGACAATGATATCTGACTGTGCTCATATCATTTCTCTTTCTGTATGTTGTGAGGTTAATTTGCCTTTAGCTGACACGTTTCCTTTGTTATAGAGACAAAGGAAGCTTGTCTCCTAAAAATCATGTTTGTGTTCAGCAATAGACGGAAAGCTAAGACTAAGCTTAAAGCCACCATCCACCATTACCTTATAATGTTAACAGTAGTCCAGCCAGCTGAATCATAGATCAGACAGAAATTCTGCAAAAGGGTTTTTACAAACATAAACATGGAGGTGGAAAAGAGATTGTATAGCCAAAAATACGAACTGTGAGCTTTTGTGTGCATGGTTGTTGTTTTCCTGGCTCTCTGCATGCATGTACAGAATGAATTTTTTGTGTATGTAAGTGTGTTTAATGTCTGCCCAACCAGCCCCCCCCCCAAGCCCCCTTGATAGCAGCAGCCAAGCCTGATCCCAGTGGCGAGGTAAAGATTGATAATACTCATCTGCTGGAATGGGGCTATAAAAGACAGAGCTGGACTGTACACTTACCCGCTGCCTCCTCTTCCTGTTTGTCCCCTTTTTTCTATTTGCTCATTCTATCTGTCTGTCTGTCTGTCTGTCTGTCTGTCTGTCTGTTGAGTGCTCCTCAGACCTCAGCCTTTGTCATCTAGCCAGAACCACTACCATTGTCTCTGGTACACAGTAAAGATTTTTAAAAGTTGTGTGAATGTAAACCCAGTCTGATGTACCAACACATGGATGGTGAGGGACAAAATTCATTTGTCAAATGATCTGTCCTGTCCCAGTTACGGCAGATGGCGATACGCCCTTTTCAGCTTGTAAGTACTGGGCCATCTACCAGTCGACCTATTATGTCACGTACAAACACAATCGTCAAATAGTCTTCCTCACTGAGAGCCAAATGTGTTTTATTTTTTCATGATGAAAACAGTGACAACTTTTTAGCTTTTTTACCTCATGTACGTATGATATAACAGCTCCATCTTTTACTCCTCTGTCAAAGTTTTGTTATAACCTGGCTCTCAACAATACATGATGCTGTTTGACTTTTGGGCTAAAGCCAGATGTGCAAACTGTAGAGCATGCACAGAATGGTTAGGCTAGATTAGATTGAGGCATAAATATACATACATGAGAAAGTCGATATCCAACTGCAGGATCCAGGAATATCAGTTTGACTTTGAGAAATTGAACTTAATTTCAATTGGACTGGTGTCTTTACAGGTATTTTAAAAGTCCAGGTTCAGTAGGACTAATGTAATAAATACATTTTTGAAGGTTATGTGTAGATATCTTCACTATCTTAATAAAGTTAACAATCCGATGTTGGATGTTTTCTGCCAACTCCAACTCAATTTTAATTTTTTCATTTTTTAAAGGGATTTGCGTAAATTTAAGTTATGGTCAAACACACCGTAACACCGAGTTAGATACCCCCTCGAGAAAAATAAATAGATAAATGTCGGCTGCTTGCTTCTCTAGTTATACCAACTTTAGTAACGACCGCATGATAGCGATACACAGCGGTCTACATCTCCACACTTAAACCTCAACCAACAAGCCACTCTATAGCCACAAATAATGCTCAGAACAGCACCTAACTTCATCAACAGAACATACAGGGTCCCAGCCATAGTACTAGCCATCAAACATCTTTTTAGCTTTGCCTGGTTTCTCTAGCGAAGAGACCAAACACAACTCAGCCACTCTCCTCCAGCAGCTGCTTGTCTGTGGGGAAGCCCTGACGAGTTGATCACAGAGTACAGTGGAGTTTTGCAGCTCAAGGAAGAACATTTATGATTTTTACTTTATGAAAATGCAATCAGAGTTCTTCTGCCTTAATGTCTCAGTCTGATTGCATTTCCATGAAGTAATAATCATAAATTTTCATTGCACTTGGTGATCGACTCATCAGGGCTCCCCCACAAACAAGAATGGGTGAGCTGTGACTTAACTCAAATAACTTAAATTATCCCTTTAGGTTGCTAATTAAACTGAAAATAATGACCAGCACATGCAAAAGAAAGTCGAAACGGTTCGTGAAACCGGTTCGTGAAACTGGTTCGTGAAACCGTGAAAAACTTCCCATTGCTCAGTGAGTCAACAACATCTGGCATTGTTAGACAATATCTGATGTGTCCTGACAATGAGCCTCCCCTGGAACTGTGTAGGATTTTCTGTGGTACTAATTAAAGAAAATATTTTTACCTCTCCTTTTACAACTTGAACTCAAGTAAAACTTAAGTGACAAAACTGAGGATTTAAAACTTTTGTAATCTCCTTTTTATGTTTATCATGATAACCCAAATTAGATAAATCATTGTCTGACCTTTTAATAAAAAAACACTGGCCTCATGCAGCTGTGTAAAAATGATATTAAAAAGTAAGGACTTGAGACTTAACTTGAGTGTCCTGAATAACCAACTGCCTGAATTAAACCTGTGGCTTAGATGCAATGAGCCCCTAAAGACTGAAAAGCATGCTTACTTTTATAACATTCATGATGTCATAACTAGTCCCTTGTGAGTTTTTCATGAGCCTCTCTGCTCTTTCATCAAGACTGAAACCATGTCAAAAAATATATGAAGTTATATAATAGAGACTCCCATGATTGCCATTCTGAATGTGGATCACATTTGGGTTTTAAAGGAAAAATGGAGGGTCAGCTAATCAGAACAAATGCTGAATCAAGATACCTTTAAGGTAACCTGCAGATGGGCTTTTGCTGATGTTCTGCTTCAGAATGTGTTGCACTTTGTTCATCAGTGTTTATTGAGTCGTTAATTAGTGCCTCAAATTCCTGTGTAAGCTCTTGCTCTAATACACTGCACAGTGACAATTTACTGTAAAACACACCCAGAGTTTGATGAGATTGTGGAGTGAGAATGGTCGCTATGGTAATATGGTCAATATGTCCACCATTCCCTCTGGTTGTATAGGTTTCCCCTGTGGATGGTTCACAGTGTGAAGGAGAATTAACATGTTGTGGGCTAAGTGATGGATAGGTTAGGTAGTGGAAACAATATCCACTGGTCTGCCCTGCAATTGCATGCCCAGTCCTCTTATTTCCCATGGTGCCCTTGGAAGGTCAGTCACCAATGATGCTCCAAGCACATTTTTACTCGCAGACTAATTTTGCATCCTTTAATATTGCATGGAGCTCATTTAGGAGATGTGTGTTCCAAGAACAGAACACACACATACACTCACACATACACAGCCACATAAAAGCATGCAAACACACTTTCTCTTTTGAAGATTTTCCTTCAACCAGCTCAAAGATTTAATTCAAGATGCTCCAGACTGTTTTGGATTGATATGTGTGTTTGTGTGCATGTGTGTGTGTTTGCATGATTGTTTTCAGATCATTGTGCTTTTGTGTGTCAGCATGCATGGGTAAGGATACCTGTGCATATTCCCTACTTCCACAAAAAGGTAATGCAATATACATTTCTGCTGTTCAGTGAGACATCAATCACACTGCCGCTGTAATTCACGGCCACTTTTGGTTTCATTGTTGTATATTTTGGGCTGAACACACTGATTCTACAGAAGCTTCTGTTTGTAACATGCATATAGCTTTTTAACAATTTATGTGCTAAGAGAGATTTGCTTCACCGGTTGAAAAGTTCTGCTATATACTTTCTATAAATGTGAAAGTTCAATTTTTAAAAAGGATGTAGTGTAGTCAAGGCAATATCAGGAAAAGTTACAGATTGTTGAGTTTTATATTACATTTCCAAATATGTCTATTATGTGATCAAGATTTACAAACACTGATTATTTGAACTCAATGTTAAAAAAGATAAGCAAGGGTTACATGAAGCTAAAAGCAGCTGTTTATAATATTTTCATCCAATTTAGATTTTTTTATGTGTGTTGCAGAATCAGGCAGAAGAGGTTAAAGGCTCTTGGTAAAAGGGTCATATAGGTTATGACTGGATGAGGTCAATGTGAGGTTACTTCCGTTTGGGGATTCCAGACTATTCCTGTCCATCATATAAGGCAACCTAAAAGACCCCTTCCACCCCGGGCCTCTGCCAGAGTCCCTGCTGTCAGAGTGATGTACAGCAGAAGGCAATAGGTGCTGAGAGTGCAAGAGATTGAAGGGAGTCCATTGGGGGACAAATGTGTACTCACACACACACACACACACACACACACACACACACACACACACACACACACACACACACCAAAAGGAAAGGATGAATCCAAGAGCTCTTGTTAAATCAAGATCTGCATTGCATTCTGGGAAAGGTTATTTTTAAAATGTGTGTTTGGCTGCTTAGAATATATCATTTATTTATGCTACAAAATAAGTTAGATTAAGAGGACAATGTTTCCTAAAAACATTCATTACCAAAACTTCACTTCTTCAGTAATCATCAATAGCAAAAGCAACACCAGTGACAACCTGACTGTACACTTCATATCAAACTAATCCTAACGGCATACTTTATCGTTGCATGTTGACACTGTGGCAAAAATGTTATTGTCTGTAAAATAATGACAGTAACAAGCCACAGATGTGAGAGCAGCCTAAGTGCAGCAGAGTTTAGCAGCTCAAGGAAGAACATTAATGATTATTACTTTGTCGAAATGCAATCAGACTGAGATGGTAAGGCAGAAGAACTACCACGTCTGAAGTGCAAAATTATTATGATGATTATTACATGAAAGAAATGATTCCCTGCACTCGGTAATTGACTCATCAAGGCTCCCCCACAAACAAGCAGCTGCTCGAGGAGAGTGGGTGAGTTGTGTTTGGTCTCTTGGGGGGGTGTCTAACTCGGTGTGTTTGACCATAACTTAATTTTATGCTGGAATATCCCTTTAAACCATAAGGAGCAGAGATAGCAGCAACATTATTGGCACACTTCTTCTATTTGTGATAGGAGGATACATAGAGAACCTGATCACCTTGTTGGTATTCTGACTTACATGTCTACCAGTTTACTATCCATGCACCCTTACTCAGAGAGAAGATTTTTCACATTAGATACCTTGACTTTTTCTTGCATTAAATGCACTAGTGAAGAATAACTTCAATGGCTTGACTCCTTATGCACAAAAAACTTTTCCTTTAATTATATGACAAAACTTTATGCAATAGAGTTACCGTTGCAAGTACACCAAATCATGCAGTAATTGAGTGTAAACAACAAAAGAAGAGGGACAGCAGTTTTCCTTTTTTTTTGTTTTTTTCTTTTCTTTTTTTGTATTATGCCAGTGAATTTGATGACATTGGTGAGAATGGTTTCTCTGTCTGGTTAGTCAAATTTCTACCTTTGGATACTATCAGCTAAGATTCATAATGAATTTTCCCAAGTTGGCCACATCTATTTACAGAACATACTTTGTACCTCATAGATTCCTTTCTCTGTGTGTTTATTTGCCTGTTTCTTCTCATATCGCTCCATGTTGTTTATTGGTGTAGGGCTCATGAGCAACACTTAAGAGGAAACCATTTTTATGACAAAGAAACCCTGCGGATGTGTCAGACTTTATCACACGGACACAGTAAGGCACCCCAGCCCAGAAGGCTCTCTTTATGAAAGCACTTGTGTTATGTTGTGACAGTTAAACCATTGTGAACACTATGATGCAATAAGCCAACCTGCTTTATTGACTATGTGAATCACAGTCAGCCTTAATTCAGTGTAGCTACCAGCTAGAAGCGCTACGCGCTAATCTCAGGAGCGTAACTTGATACAGGCGGGGTAGATCTCTCCACCCTACTCTGGGGATCTTTATCTATGAAAGACGATTGAATTATGTCTCCTTGCACAGCTGGAGGAATTGAGTTACAGCCACCATAATGCACAACAACAGACTGCTTGTATCAGACCTGAGTCAAGACAACAAGAGCCATACACATAGATAGATGCTAATTTAGCAACAAGTGAGTCCTCCTGATTATAAGGACATCAAAAAAGCAGGAAAAACACAGCAAATAGCAGAACAATACTCTCTATTTTCTTTCAACAAAGACATTCTCACAATGGCTTCCAAAGTTAAGAGGATTGTATGCTGCCTTATTGATTTTTGTTGCTGTGTCCGGGAGATGGCGCCGGGAAAATGAGGTCTGGCTTGGAGGTTTATGTCCTGCCACAGTGAGGAGGAAACGTGAGCTGAGGATTCAGCTGGCCTTTTATTGTAAATGCGCTCCCTCTAGATGGACTTAAAGTGTCTGTTTTCCTGGCTATAGGAGGGAATTAAATATGAAGGGTATCCGTAAATGGGCAGGAAGACTCCAAACGAGTGCTTAGGGACAGTTTCCCATTATTGTCATCTATTATCTTGGACAGATAGTGATGTGGGCCACTGAGTTGTCGATTGCAATCCTCTGCACATAGGTGACAGACAGACACACAGACAGGTTGTGGGTTATGTGAAAACAAAGCAGTGCAGTTAATTGTGAGAGGGATAATTTGGGGCTAGTTTGTACCACAATCAAATAGAAGTCATTCATAATTAATGCAGGATGCAAAACACTGCAATGGAACGGCACAACAGAGCTTCCAGTTCATGATTAAATAACTAGCTGATGTTAACCAGCTGTAAGCATACTGTTGTTTGGAAAATTAAACCATAAACCATATTACTTGGGATGATTTTGGTATCACTAAAGGGAAGAAGTCACAGTGTAATCATAATTGCGATCTAGCTTTGTGACATAAGGTTACTGAGGGATGAATAACAGCGATGACCACACCACTTTAGCACCACGTGATATGTTACTGGATCTTCACCCCATGTTCAGTCTATGTCAGATCTACTTGCTTAGTTTTGGGCTCACTTCTGTGTAGCCGCTTTAAAACGCCACTCTGTACACAGACAGTCACTCTGAATAATAGGCCTGCAAGCCATAAATGTCAGCCCTTTAAATCACACACAGACCGGCGCTGTGTCCCAGAGAGAGAATGCTTCATCACCGCTTAAACTACAGCCGCCCATTTATTATGTGTATGTTTATAAATCACTAAGGAGACCTCGCATTCCTGAAGCCTGTAAAAGAGAGAGAGGGAGAGAGAGAGAGAGAGAGAGAGAGAGAGAGGGGGGAAAACATTGGAAAGAGAAGAAGACCAGGGGACAGTGACTTAAGTGAGGATGTGTGAGGAGTGGATGGAGGATAAGGAATCACAGTCATCGTCTTGGTTGCCTGCCTCCAGTTCCTCTGTTTGGGGATAGCAAGGGACTTTATTTTACAAGACCAAAAAATTGTATGCAGCAGAAATCTCTTCTAATTAATCTTTATTTTTTTGTTGTTTGTTTGATTGTATGTTTGTTTTTTAATCTTAAAATATTTAAGAAGTAGTAGAAGTAATTTTAACTGGGAGATGCTTCACCTGCAGGGGTTGCCTTCTCTCTCTCTCAGATTTTATGTTCAAATCAGGTAAAAAAAAAAAAAAAATCCCTAAAGGTTTCTTCCTTACATAAGCAAACTGATATAATCAGATATAACTATATAATATAACTTTCAGAAGAAATAAAATTGTCTTTGAAAGAAGTAGTTTTTTGCCATTCTTTGGTGAGGGATTTGGGGGCTGCGAGCTGAGGTGTTGTTAAAGGGATATTCCGGCATAAATTAAAGTTTGGTCAAACACACAGTGCAGTGGAGTTTTGCAGCTCAAGGAAGAACTTTTATGATTGTTACTTCATGGAAATGCAATCAGACTGAGACATTAAGGCAGAAGAACTTCCGGGTCTGCAGTGCAAAATGATTTTTATGATGATTATTATTTGAAGCTAATGATCCGCTGCACTTGGTGATCGACTTGTCAGGGCTCCCTCACAAACAAGCGGCTGCTGGAGAAGAGTGGGTGAGTTGTGTTTAGTCTCTTTGATAAATAAACCAGGCAAAGCTAAAAAGATGTTTGGTGTTTGGTGATCTAGTACTATGGCTGGGACCCTATATGTACTGTTGATGAAGTTAGGTGCTGTTCTGAGCATTATTTGTGGCTATAGAGTGGCTTTTTGGTTGAGGTTTGCGCGTGGAGACGTAGACTGCTGTGTATTGCTATCGTGGAAGTTGCTATAACTATAGAAGCAAGCAGTCGGCAAAATTCATCTCTTGAGGGGGTGTCTATCTTAGTGTTATGGTGTGTTCGACCCTAATTTCAATTTACACTGAGAATATCCCTTTCAGTAATTGCTCAAAAGAATAGGTCCTAAATGCACAAAACTCCTTAAAACTCCAGCCGTATGTTTGAACATGAACAGCCAAAATTTTCTCCCCAGCTTCTTCCTGCTTGTCCCCTTGACATTTCTCAAAAAACTCAGGATGAGCTGTTTTAAGAAAACAATAGAAAACATCAAGGGAGATCCACTCTAGGTGCAAGCAGGTAAGGATATTGATATCATGTGACAGACTGGAAGAAGAACATCTGAGGTCAAAGACGGTAAAAGCAAAGTCAGGAACCTTTTTTAAGATGAGAACAACAATGATGACAATACACTTGTGTATATATACATCACATTGATGCAAATGAAAGAACTTAACTCATCATACTGTTAGTTTGACCTCATCAAAAACTGTACTCTTGTACTCTTCGGATTTACAAGTCAGCTGATTAATTTAATTGTTCAAGCTTTAGGTCAATATTTTCAGGAGCTAAACTGGACAGGAGTTCGATTATGCAGTCACATTCAAGCCTAAATTAAATCTGACCATATTTGAGCATAAATGGTTTATGAAGTCCTGCAAAGAGTCCACATAATCAAGGTGAAAGAAAAAAAAAAACATGTTTTACTGTGTAACCTCCAAGTACAGACATACACCATGTAGAGTCCTTTGGCTGTGATATCCCACAGGTGTCTGCTCAGTGTCAAGCTACACCACCTTTCTCCTCTGACTAACACACTTTAGTTATGGACAGTTAATATTAACACTCGACTGAGGGTGAATTCCCAAGCGTCTGCCAGAAAAGTCTGTCCACAGGCAAAAATAACTCTTCTCCAGAAGATCAGTCAAAATAAGCCAATCAGGTCTTTCATCCTGGCCCTTTTACAGTCCCAGCTCAGAGATTTACGAGTTGCACTGAGATGTGCAGTTATCCAATATATGTATATACACGCTTTTTATGAAGCTGAGTGCAGTTACTCTCTCCATTCCCTCATAAAAGATGCTACATTCCTGCATTTTACTCAGCCAGTGGTCCCTTTATGTGTAGCTCGAGGGTTTGTACAAAGACCGTCTCTTTGTGTCTTTGTTCCAATCTAATATTTTTTGGACCTTTGCAACCAAATAAGAAACATAAAAAATGGAAGTGCAATATAACTGAGGGGGAAAATATCATAGGATGTCTGTGTTTATCCGTACATGTTCGTGTTGCTCTACGAAGTCTGAAAAAAAATCATCCAATTCTTGATTTTAAATTATAGAGCCCCGAAGGGGACATGAAGGAAAAATAAAAAGATTTTCTCAAGAACTATTGCAAGCTTTCGCAAAACTACTGACAGATCTTTGAAGATGTCAAAGGATTATAAGTAAAAAAAATGTAATCAGCGTATTTTTCTGTGTCGAGTCAACCCAAACGATGGAACGCATGCACCCGTGAGAGAGGTACATTGCATCTTTTTTGAGATTGGCCTCAGATAAAAAGATGTTAAATCAGTTCTGCGATGCAGGAATGGTTCTCTTATAAAGCATGAGTCATGAAGGACAATTTGAAAGGCCTCCTCTGGTCAAGGGACGGCCCGCACGAGGACATTATGTGCATGCGAAGGGACAAGGTGTGCTGAAAAGCAGTTCAAAATAAAATTCAATGAACCTTTCCCACAGCTGCATACGTTCCAATATTTGAGTTGAATTGACCCGGAAGTAATAAGTAATACACTTACCAATCACCCCTGAGATGACATTTGCGAGATCTTGCAAAAATCTCGCAAAAATACTCAAGAAAAGACTTTTTTTTCATCCATGTCCATTCAGGGGCTCCATATTAAATAAATGCTTTAGTTTGGGGGAAAATTGATCTGATGCAACCTTCTTTGACTTGTGTTGAGTCTCATGAAATCAAGATGCCAACATGTTGACAGTAAAGTGGGTGATGAGTTCAAAATATTAACATCGTTTGAAATGACAAAATATGAAAAGTCTTTGGTTGGTTGTATGCAACTGTAATAATAATAAAGTTAATCCGAACTGAACCAGAGCACATATACACAAAGAGCATTCAACATATTTAAATCTCTGATCATCTGTGTACATTAATGCAGCAGTATTCCTTTCTGGAACTTTACATTACATTTTGATATCCAGCGAAAAGGAAACCTGCAGCTTTACAGCTTCTGGTGTCTGTAAAAACTTCTATTTGATTTGTCTCGCACTCTACTTTTTCACAATTTCTCTTGATTGAAAAAGGACAGATTTAAGCCAATGTTATTCTACTGAAACAGCTGAGAAAAATCTCACATTGAATTTTGAAACAGTGATTGAAAAATAATGCTGTCAAAACAAACATGTACACCAACATTAAGCAGCAGTCCGTTCACACTCACTGTATAGCGTATCCACCCTTGAACACACAATCACTGGCCCACTTTCTCATTTCCCAGGCTGCTCTGTTTTCCCTCAGGTGCTGTGGCGAGTTTGACAGCAAAAACCGGGGAAACCACATCTCATCAGCTGCTTGGATCCAGTGGGCTACGCTGGAACACACTGTCAGCTAGCTGTGCAACCCCCTCCTACAGAATCTAGGTTTCGAAGTCTATTTCTGTCTGCAAGTTGTGGCTTTGACCCTTAACCCTTTCACCTCTGGGCACTTGTAGGATTCCCAATCTTGGTTGTTTTCCTTAGGAGACTCTTTAAAAGAGGCCCAAAGAGAAACAGCGTTAAATTATCTTGTTTGAATGGAACCACAAATCCCAACTTGCTAAATTACATGTTTTGTTTGTTTGAGAAACAACATTTTGACGATTTTATGGATATTTTGAAAGAAAGTATTTTTTCAACATCGTCAACACACATTCTTCTTGATTATCAGGTTGTACTTTCTGACTGTTGGCTTCGGTGCACCTCTGCTCCTCAGCCAGTCCAGATACATGTCAATACACAGCCTCGCCTGCACTTAATTGAGACATATCTGTATCGAGCAGCCAAATCTACAAGTCACTCATTGAATATGAAAAATGAAGTATGAGAGAGGGAGGGGAGGTGGAAGAGCGATCAATGATATGGATCTGAACATGCAGGCCGAGCCTCCATCCTGTGTATGTGTGTGTATATTTACATGTGTGTTGGGGGAGCAGAATTATTGGACATCTGAATGAGTAATGATGTCGTCTCAGTCTGGGCAATTACCACCAGCGCTCGTTTATTAAAGAGGGGATGGAGAGATGGAGAAAGGAACATGGCGGCCGGGAGGAGGAAATGACTGAAGGGACAAATACAGGAAATTCTTTGTTTATTCCATATCATCTATTGAATCTTACATCCACGCCCCAGAGTGGGTTTTAGTTCTTTCAACACCAAGGAATGGGGCCTTGTTTGAACCCTTTCCCTTTGAGGCTGAACTGAAGAGATCCTCATGATTGATGTGTTGTTTGCAACCTAGCAGCTAAACTTAGCCATTGTCCCCAATACATGTGATCGATTTTAAGTGTAATTCATTTTAACATGTTAACCAACAGCCATCCCTCAATGTCAAATGAGCTTTAACACCAGTGATAAGTATAGGAACTAACAGGTTAAGTACTTCCATTTGTTTGCTTTGTTTGTTGCTAGTACTCTCATTAGTCTCTTTAGTGTCTCCCTAGAATCAGTAAAAGTTTTATAAATTCATATATTCAAAAAAATAGTGATGATATGATGGTTTGGGGCCAACTATGAGCATACCCATTCTGCTATCTCTTCATAAACCTGCATTACTCCAGCCCTGCACTAGCTGAAACAGACATAAACATGCTCACACACAATCTATGTAATTTTTCTTTTCCAATCCTCTAACATAATACAAGCATGTCCTCAGATGCCAACACTGAGCAACAGTATTCAAGGCACACACAGTCCAGATTACAGCTTTATTATCCAGTTAACTATTTAGAAAGTCTTGTGTCTAATGATGTTCAGATGGATTGTTTACAGTGTTTACAGATAAATCATCAATGAGGGAGAATCAGAACGGTTTTCGAGAGGGGCGAACTACTACAGCCCAGATCCTGGCACTTAGGCGAATGATTGAGGAGGTGAAGAAGCACAACCTGACTGCAGTCCTATGCTTTTTTAGGCGACACCCTGCAGTGGTCCTCACAGATCTTGACTATGCGGATGACTTAAGTCTGCTCTCCGACAACGTGGAACAAGCACAAGAACTACTGAACAGGGTAGAGCTAGAGTGCGCCAAGGTTGGCCTTAGGCTAAATGCCAAGAAAACTGAGGTCATCACCTACAACGTTCCACCAGAACATCAACCTCCGACTACAGCAGGAGGCGCTGTGCTGAAAGAAGTCAAGGACTTCAAATACTTGCATGGAGAGCCCTGAACGGCATGACCAGTGTATGGAACTCCAACCTCCCCCGCCAAATCACACTCAGCTTCTTCTACGCGACAGTAGAGTCCGTTTTCCTTTATGGCAGTGAATGCTGGACCCTGGAGCCAACCCTGGAGAGATCCCTAGATCAGTGCTACACCAGGATGTTGTGTGCAGTGCTTAACATCAGCAAGAACGCACATGTAACCAACAGAACACTGTACGAGGGAATACAAAGGGTGAGCGAGAAGATTGCTGTAAGGAGAATGAGACTAGCAGGACACTGCCAAAGGCATCGGGAATGGCCAGCCAGCAAATTGATGCTTTGGGAACCAACACATGGGCATTGGTCAAGAGGACGTCCTACAGTATCATATGTGGACATACTCAAGAAGGATGCGGGAGCTCAGAGTACCAACGAACTGGCAAGATGTATGGAGAATCGGGATGACTGGAAGCGACGATGGAAGGCTCGTCTGAGGACAACCTAGAGAGATCAATACACCACTTAACATAACTTACAGTAACCTATGTATGTTTCAACATTATAGAGCCTGTTGTATTTAAGCAGAAAGACTGAATCCTGTTACAAAGAAACATACAGCCATACCTGACTCCTTTTAGGAGCTAGTTGGTTTGATTCATGTTACAGAAAAAAAAAAAAAAAACTCATAAATTAGGGACTTATGCTGCGTTCCAGTTACCTTGGAAGTTGACGTGTTCCAGTAAACAAGTCAGAAAACCAAAATGGACACCTACTGTTAGCTGTTGTTAACAATTGTCAGTTGTTGTTAGCCGTTGTCAGCTGTTGTAAGTTGTTTTTAGCTGTACTAGTTGTAAACAACACATAACACAGTATTTTACTCGTACAAACACCATAGCACTGTGTTCACAGTTAGACGCTAGGCAGTACAACACATAGCACTTATTTAATTTCACAAAAATAAAACAGAAGTGCTTATAAATAATACATTTTGAGAACTTTTACTGTTACTCTTTACTGTTGATGCACTGCGCTGCCATCTTGGAATATAACGTTGACGTCAAGTTGGGGTTGGTGAGGATCATCTGACTTTCCGAGTCAGAAATCCGACTTCAGGGGGACGTTCCAGATAAATTTCCGACACGGAGCTCGGAAATCCCAATCTGTGAGTACAATCGGAATGCAGCATTAATCCAACCTCTTTGCACCCTAATTTAGAACTCAAAATTTGCATTATTTAACCGTGAATATACTCCCTAAATTCATTTTGGGTGACATATACTTCCATAGAGCCATAAGTGTGAAAACTTTAAAAACTCTCATCATTACTGCCATTATTTTTCTACTTGGTCTTTCGGATAATTGACCTTCTTGTTGAAAATTTGCCCACATATCAGCCATTCTCAAACCAAGCCCATGTCCTGGATAGCCAACTACTTTATGAAATTCCCTCCCTCCCTCC